GAGTTCCAAAAAGATGTGTGAGCTGTTATATGGGAGTGAATAGAATTTAAGGGTTTTTGGGACCTGACAGCTACTGAAGTTTTAAACAGGGTAATATTTTGAAAAGGGGATCGGGGAAAACCCGGTTACCGGATTTGAGTTTTGGGAAATGGGGGGTAAAATGCCTGCATTTTAACCCTTTGACTGTTTCGGGGCCCCTTTTTAAAACTCATTCTATTCCCAATTTTTGAAAAAAAAAAAAAAAAATTATTTTTTTTTGAAATGATAGAGATCTTTTCCGAGGGTAAGGCACCAAAGTTCAAAATTTTGGTCAAAAACTCTAAAATTATGCCCCCGCGAAGTTAGCGGTTCGGCGACATATGGTATCGGCGATTTCCCCCAACTTGACCCTATTTTCAGCCAATTTCCCTTTGTTCCATTTGCCCAAACTCATGCTATTTCTTAGAACCCCTTTTTTCTATTCAGCTGAGTACAAGAAACCCCCCATTTACTAATTTGGACTACCCAATATGGGGTCAAAAATTTGGAAATTTTGGGGCCAAATTTCACGCAAAAAAAAAAAAACCCCAATTTAAAAAATAGGTCCAGAATAAACAAGGTAAAAATTTTTGTGGCACTAAAATAACATATGCTCTTTTCTTTAGTCATATCTCTAGGCCCCTTTATTTAAATTAGCTTTCTATTTTGATTTTTTTTTCATTAAAAAAAATACAAAATTTACTGTTATGCAGACATGCATTATTGTAAAAATGGTTAAAATAATATCAGTGCCCCCAGTGAAAGAATATTTGACTCCCCCGTTGACGTGTATTGAGTGTGGTGTGATTTATTTACCCTGAACATTGGTAAAAATCGAAAATTTCCGATTTAGCTCAGTTTCAAGGTCTTTTTTATTGTCAAAATAATGAAAATCACTCTTTTTTGAATATGTTTTTCCCTTTTATCCCTAAGACCATGAAAAAACGAATACAACGTAAAAAAATAACGAAAAAACACCCCAAAGTCGGCGTTTTATTCCAAAAAAGATCAGTTTTTTTTTTTCTTAACAATGGTGCTGCAGGATTTTTTTTTTATGTGGTCACATGCCACACAGACCCTTCTCTCACATGTGGGCCTACCAGTTTTCCCCCTTTTTTTGAAGCCGCTAGAATTTTTAGTATATATGTCAGAAACATTGGCCGTAAGACATTTTACTCGAAAACATCAAAGGGGGTTAAAGGAGGTTTTGGGAAAAGTGGATTTTGGGAAAGGACTTCTAAACTGTTGTATTTGAGGCCTCTGGGAGAACAGTGATCTGTATGATATGGTGAAATGTTGAAAGATGATAAAAAATATTTTTTTTTTTTTTGGGTTTTTCTTTCTTTTTTGGGCACCCTGCTTGGTGGGAAACAGCGATGTGTTAAAAGAAAAAAAAAAATTATCAGAATTCTCCATGGGGAAGTGGAACAAAATTCTTCCTCCATAAGCCATGTGTGTCTTAAGAAGTGACTAATATGCCGGGAGCAAGGGCTAGTAACCCTTTCTCCTGTATATATTACTAAATTTAAAAGGAGAACGTAACTACTGTGTTATCTGACAGTCAACTGTACTTTCCCCTTTTTTTCCTCCTTGGACATGGTTGTCTTCATAGGTGCCTCAGTACACCACCCATCTTTTATTCCTTATCAATTCTATAGTTCACATCTTTCCTAGACATCTGCCAACATGTCCACTCCCAAAATATCTGAACATATTTACAGTTTGGAGAGATATATTGTGTATTTTTATATATTATACTTATAAGCTGTTGTATTCTGACACCTCTGCAAAAACAGTGATTATGTGTGAGTGAGGTGAAAGTGTTGAATGAGGAGAGTATTTTCTTTTTGGGGATTTTCTTTCTCTTTGGGTCACCTTGCCTCGGTGGGAGACAGCTGACTTGTTAGGAAAAAAAAAAATTTACAGGTCTCCTCAACATTCACGTTTTCCACTTTCACGGGCTTCGACATTTGCGAATTCCCAGCCGCCCAATTATACATAAAATATGTCATTATACATGTTAGGAATTGTAGCAGTGGCAGAGTTTGGAGATAGGACAAGATAGTCCTTCAATATGACATTAATATCAACTATGGCTTATTTATCTAACATAATTCATCTAATATGACATAATAAACAATATTAACGCTTTCAGGGTTTTGGCTGTACTAGTACGGCTTACGTGCCAGGGTCCTTGACGTACTAGTACTCAAATTCTAGCGCCTTCAAATCTAGTGTGAGAAAGCTGGTAGGCCTACATATGAAAGAAGGTCAATGTGGTCAGTGTGTGCAGTATAAAAAAAATCCTGCAGCACACAGTGCGTAATGAAGAAAAAAAAACTGACCAGTGTTTTTGGATTAAAACAGCGACTTTGCACTGTATTTTCGTATGGTATTTATTGTTGTATTCTAGTTTTCTGGTCTCATTTGATAGAATGGAAGACATATTACAGAAATTGAGATGATTTTGACTGGTTTTACAACGAAAAGTACCTTGAAATTGAGCTCAAAGTAGCAGAAATGTTCAATTTTTACCAAAGTTCAAAAGTAAACAAATCATGCTAAGCGTCCAATACACGTCAACTGGTGAATCTAATATTCTTTCACAAGTGCGCTGATATTATTTATACCATTTCTACACTAATGCAGTAGTCTGCATAACAGTAAATATTTTATTTTTTGTGAGAATAAAAATTCAAAATGGAAAGCAAAAGAAATGTAACAGAGGCCTGGGGACGTGACTAAATGAACAGAAGAAATGTTATTTTAGTGCCAGGAATGTCTTTCTTGTTTATTCTGGACCCTATTTGGAAATTGGCATCTTTTGAAATTTGTGTGAAATTGGCAAAATTGCTAAATTCTGACCACTGTGTTGGATAGTTGAAATCGGTATATGGGTGGTTTCTTGTACTCATTCGATAGAAAAAAATGGAGTTCTAGCGAAATAGGTATGATTTTTGTTGACTAGTACACTGGAATTGGCTGAAAATAGGGCTCAAAGTGGGCAAAATTGCCGATGCGTAAACATCGGTGAGACCGCTAACTTCGCGAGAGCATAATTCCGCAAGTTTTCCATCAAATTTCATACTTTTGGTGTTGTTATGATCAGGAAAAGATTCTCTATCTTTTCATAAGAAAAATTAATTTTTTGGGGGGAAATTTTGGGGACCCTGAGAACAAGTCTCTGAGAGGGCCTGTGGACCCTGAAAGGGTTAACATAGAAACATGACACATACTCTAGAATGAATAAAATACACCTACCATCCGACTTACGACCTGCTCGACTTACGACCACTCTACTTACGACCGTGTTTTTTATGCCAAATTTCTGGGAAATAAACAACTGTATTTGTATTGTACACAGTGTTTATCCTAAACCTTACAGTATAAAATACAGTACTAACAACATAAAAAGTAAAGTAAAACATGAAATACCAAAATAAAACAAAATAAAGTCATTACAAAAATGTTTTGTTGATATTCAGTAGTAAAGTTCGACTTACGACGTTTCTCGGAACCCAAACTCGGTCGTAAGTTGGATGGTAGGTGTACGTCATTAAGTCACGAGTGTTGCTGTGTTGTTGTTGGGTGTATAAGGGCCACTGAGACAAGCCTTACATAGTGGTGGTGGAAGAGGCAGCAGAGGCGGTAGAGACTAGAGACAGCGGTGTTATCAGTCAACCTATATAACGCCAACAACATTGGAGTTAGGTTCGTGCTGTCCTTTTTCTATCGATTAATCGCTTAACATAACATACTTGCTACACTGCTAATGCCACAATTTATCGCTGGCTTTACTGACTTTACTGACTCGTGCTGCTTTAATATCGTACATGTTGTAGAATCACCAAAGAAGGCACATTCTTCCCTCTCTCTTCCTCCTCCACTTTGTTACTCTGCTATGAGTCCTTTCTTGAATTTTATAGTTTTTCTCACCTTTACCAAAAGGCTGGCACTAGTACAATATTTTACTATGTTTTCATGTGTTTTATGATTGCTCATGGTTCAATAGGTTAAGGAAGCAGTACTGTTAGGCTAAGTAAATGTTATCATATTTCCTTAAATATATTTGTGTGCCAAACATTCGTGAGGTTCTTGATCCCTAATCCTAGCGAATGTGGAGGGAGACCTGTACTTCCTCGGTGGGAAATGGCCGATGTGTTAAAAAAAAAAAAAATTACTTCCTCTATACTCCCTCTCACCAATCTAATATCCAGTGTTTCACTGCCTAGTTATTTTTACCCCCATAATCTAGTCTTTCCTATATTCACTTTTAATTTCTTTCTTTTGATATGCCCTCCTAAATCTGTGCAACAAACTTGGCAACTTCTCTTCATAATATCTCTCTCTCTCTCAAAAAAAAAAAAAAAAAAAAAAAAAACATGCTAATGGCAAAAAAGAAATTATGACAACTCCTGTATTGATTTGTAGTAGTGGTAGTAGAAGAGGTGGTAGTAGTGGTAGCATCAGTTGTGAAATTTTCAGAACACTTTGACAATAGTTTTATTTGTTTGAGGATGAATTCTGTATATACTTTTAAGCAGGTACTGTACTGTGAATAAAGCACCAAATAGGTGTCTGCACTCACTACAAATCTACTGAATTCCTGTATCATATTTATCCTGGCTTTTGCCAAAAATTTAACACACTCAGAAGGGAATTAATATCTATGACACATTTTTAAATATATGAATAAAAATGGGTCCAAACTACATTACAACCATTAACCTTTAAACTGTCCAAACGTAGATCTACGTTTTTTCAACATTTGAATGTAAAAAAAACGTAGAGCTTAGTTTTTTTTTTTTTTTACATTTGAAAACGTGTTAAAAAACTTAGATCTACTTTTTTTTTGTTATTTTTGAAATATGTAAAAAAAAAAACGTAGATCTACTTTTGGAGCACTACGCATGTGAACGTAGATTTTTTTTTGGACAGTTTTAAGGGTTAGATAAAAAAACAAATGCATGCTGAACACTTACCTTAATAGTGGTGAGATCCATTGGGTAGTCAATAATTAAAGCATACATAGGATAAACGTTGAGATCGACAGGGACGAGGAAAGGTTCAGCGATAGCCAGACTCATGATCTGGGAGAGCCATACGAGATTCGGTCACACTCAAGATCTGGGCCCCGGCCCACCCATTCTTCATCTTGTGGAGTGTAAAGTAGCTCCTCAAGTTCCTCTTGTTTCACAGCTGCACTACCATCTGGCTCCACCATCTCCACTGTATAAGTAAAAATTAATTACACTGGCACATGCAAATACAAAGGCTAGGCAGATAGCAAAAGACCTTATAGTTCACATCAAAATTGCCTGCCAAGAGACTAACTACAGTTCAGCTGCCTCTTTCTCTAAATAGTTGAGGTAAGGATAGTACAGCAAAAAATTCTCTCACTGACTCCACTTCTCTATCCATACTGCCAGCTTGACAAAGTGGGTTAAAAATTTTCTCTTGGTGGACTGACTTTTTTTTTTTTTTTTTTTTTAACTCAATGGCTGTCTCCTGCCAATGAAGGGTGACCAAAGAAGAACACAGAAAAACAATCACTCAACTGCAGTCTTTCCAGAAGTGTGCTGACATCACAACCAGATTACCCTCTGACTGAATCACCACCACCTGTCCTTCAGAGTGCAAGCACTTCTCTTTCCTCCTCCAGGACTTGAGTCTGGCTAATCAATTTTCCCTGAACCCCTTCAAAGCTACCCTGCTCACACTCCAACAGCAGTTCCATTAAAGCTTCTAACATAATTGCGTAAGTCTGCTAGTTGCTCAAGCCCCTAAAACTCAAAGCCTATTGTTATTTCCTCTTTCCAATTGCTTCTGGGATGACCCATTCTCTTTCTACCTTCCAACACAGATTCTATCACACCCTTTTATCAATCATTCCACTCTCTTTCCTATCTACATGCCAACCACCTCAAACAATCCCCACCTCCATCCACTTCAATTTTTTATATTTCCAAATTCTCTGCATGTCTGTTCACACTACCACACTTTTCAATTATGAACATACTCTGCCGGCCTACTAGCCTTCCTTTTTCACTAGAATTCAAAAAACCTGTCTCACACCCCCACAAATGGCTTGGTACACATACATGCTGGCCATATTTCCTTATTATTGCCTCCTGAGTTACCTTTTTTTTTTCTTTCCAGATACTTACTTCAATACACCTTACCATTTTCTCACCTCATTTTTCCATGACCAATTCTGAGGGGCCACGTTTCTCTCAAACATCTATATATTCCTACTCTTCCTCCATTTTACTCCTTCCCTTCAAATACTAATATTCAATCTATCATTCGCCAGACTTTGGTATTGGCTTATCACCTTCCTCATTTTCTTACATTCATCTTTGAAATTTCCATTTTACAAAATCTTTCCCAAAATCATCCATCAAACCATTCCTGTAATTTATTTCAGACTCTTAAAAGAACCATTGTCACATAGGAAGAGCAGCTGGGATGACTTTACAACTATATAGTATCAGATCTAACACTCTTCAATTCCCACCACCCTTCCCAAAATCCTAGCATTTACTTCTTTCACAACTTTCTTTCCAATACAACCACTGGGCCAGTTATTCCACCACAAGGGCGAGGGGATGGCCAAACAGAAAAAACGAAAGTTTATTCTTCTTTTTAAATTTAGTAATTTAATACGGGAGAATGGGTGACCTAGCCCTTGCTCCCGAGCATTTTAGTCGCCTCTTACAACAAGCTGGCTTACGGAAATAGGGGAAGAATTCTGTTCCTCCTTCTCCCATGGACTTTCACAACTTCATCATTAAAATATGTTAAATATTACTTGTTCCCTCTTTAAGCTCTACTTAAACTGAAATATAGCCCCTTCACACTATTTACCCTAACCTGACACGCCTCAACTCTCTGCATTAACAAACTAACTGCGCGTTTAGTAATTCTCCTCCTTATTCCCTGTTATCTTGCTACTTCAAAAACATGGCGTTCCCTTATTCCATCCTACATAATCATCTTTTTCTTAAATCATAAATGCACAAGCTTGTTCTTTACCTCTTGTCTTCTAAGCACTAGCTCCACTTCTTTACTTTCAATGGTAAAACACTTGGTTACTGCATAAATGAAACAAAGTTACCTACAATCTAATCATATTAATGCTACTGCCAACAAACTTAGTCTTATTGCTACAACATTATGCCCATGTCAATACCAATATTCTTATTATGCTACAACCCACTATGCCATGGTCAAATATCTATATGCAATTCTTGTATTCTATCAAAAAACCACTACACTATCCTAACCTTTATTTTCCTTTAGGGGGTCGGACAAGGGTCATATCAGAGACATTGTTCTCAGGCCGTCGGCCAAAATTTACCCAAAAATTAATATAAAAATCTCAATAAAAATGTACTAAGAGAATCTTTCCCTGATCTTATGACACCCAAAAAAAAGTATGAATTCGATGGAAAAACTTACGGTATCATATGCTCTCGTGAAGTTAGTGGTACATGACGATGCGTTTACGCATCAGAGATTTTGCCCCACTTTGAGCCCTATTTTCGGCAATTACTACTGTACGACGAACAAATTCATAACTTATTTCGCCTAGAATCTCCATTTTTATCTATCGATTGTGTGCAAAGAATACCACCCATTTACTGATTTTCAACTTATCCTTTAAAGGGTCAGAATTTAGCTAATTTTTTTTGCAATTTCACACAATTTTTCAAAGATCGCCAATTTACCGAATAAGGTCCAGGAATAGCGAGAAAGTACATTTTTGGCACTAAAACAACATGCTTTCTCTGTTCGTTAGGTCACATTCCCCAGGCCCCTCTATATTTTTCTATTGGCTGTTCAACTTTGAATTTTGTATTACTTAATAAAAATAAGAATTACTGTTATGCAGACTGACTGCATTATGTGTAGAAAAATTGTATAAAATAATATCCAGCACACTTGCTGAAGAAAGCAAAATGAGAGTGCGGTACGGGTGAAGTGTTTATCAACAAATTTTGCTTGAAAATAAGAAAAAGTTATTGCGACGTGAGGGATTTAAACAACGTTAAGACAGGCCTAGAGTACATAAGGATTTTTTGTGTTTTATTCACCATCTGCTGATTCCCCACCAAGCAGGGTGGCCCCCCGACAAAAGAAAAAAACTTTTTCACCATTCATTCAACTCAATCACTGTTCTTTGCCTGAGGGTGGCATTTACACATTACAGTTTTTAAACTGCAAACATTAACACCCCTTCCTTCAGAGGGCAGGCACTGTACTTCCATCTACCAGGACTCAGTCCGCGCACTGTCACGGTTTCCCTCTTGAAAACCCCTTCCATAAATGTTTTACTTTGCTCCACTCCCAACAAAGCACCGTCAAGTATTAAAAACAACCTTTGTCTTCCATTCCCACTACTATCACAACCGCTCACGACCATGCTGCTGGTAAACGTCCAATGCTCCTCGCACACAAACACCTCCTTTACCCCTCCCCTCCAACCTGTCTGGGCCTGCCCCCTTACCCCGCCTTCCTGCACTTATCAGACTGATTACACTCTCGAAAAGTCATTCTGTTTCGCTCCATTCTCTCTAACATGTCAAACCCACCTCAACAAACCTTCCTCTGCCCTCGGGGACAAATACAGTTTTGGTATTCCCGCACTCCCTCCTAACTTCACAGACTACGAATTCTCTCCCTGCCACTTATATTCACACCCACACATTGCCCTCAGTACTGACATCTCCACTGCTTCCCAAGCCTTTCTCCTTCTTTCGCTGCAACATTCAATCCCAACCCATGCCTTCACACCCATATAAGCAGCGGTTGGTTAAAAAAACTATTTACTCTCATACATTCCCATCTTTGCTCCAAGGACAAAGTATTTGTCTTCCACAGGACTCTTAAGTGCACCACTCACTCTTTCTCCCTCATCAATTCTATGATTACAACCTCAATCTTCATAGTCCCATCCCGGCTGACCTACTGTTTCCTCCATATAGTCATTCTCCCTCCCACTTTTGGAATTATTCAATCTTCACTGACCAAATGGATTTGTCAGTATATTTTAAAAATAAGGCATGAGGAGGAGTATTAAATGGAGAGTAGCGGTATTGGGGGGAAGATGAGCAGGAATATTTTGAGAATTGTTAACATAGTTGATGAAAGACAGGGAGGCTGTGCATTTCGTTGTATAGGGCAAGGAGGGAATAAACATAACTTGTAGAGTGAAGGCAGGACAGCCTAGTTCGTAGAGTGTGGGGGGAAGTTCGTGAGGCAGTAGGTAAAATGAAGAGGGTTTAAGGAGCGGCTGGACTGTGAGAATAAAAGATAGAAAATGTTAAAAGCAGGGTTGGCGGCATATAGTTTTGGACAGTGGTTGTGCAAATTATTTAATATATGTATGGAATGAGCTGGTAAGGGTACCTAGCCGGATTGGCAGAGAGCATGCATAGTTTCCTTTGTTATAAAAGGCAAAGGGGATAAAAAGATAGTGCAAAAAAATTATAGGGGGATCAAGTCTTTGAGTATACCTGGCAAATGTGTTGGTAAGAGTTATTTTTGAAAGAATTAAAAGAGTAAAGTCGGACGAATGGATACGCAGATGAACAAGGAGGCTTTAGGAAAGGTTAGCGGGGTGTAGGGGCTGGACCAGGTGTTTTACAGTGAAACATTTAATCTTGTGAACACAGTATTTAGATAATGGCTTAAATCTAAAGAGGGTCTTTGTGGCATTTATGGATTTGGAAAAGGCATTATGACAGGGTTGGATAGAGGGGCAATGTGCATGATGTTGCAGGTGTAATGCATTTGATATGAGGTAAGGTTTACTGAAAGCAGTGAAGAGTTTTTTACGAGGATTAGTGAGGCTCATGTTAGGCAGTATGTAGGGAAAGAGGGGAAATTATTTCCAGTAAATAGTACGGGCCTTTAGACAAGGTTGTGTGATGGTTACAACCACGTGGTTGTTTAATATATTTTATAGTGTGGTTGTAAGAGAAAGTAAAATCGCGAGGGGTCTTGGCAGCAGGCATGGATTGGTAAAAGATAAAGGAAATCACACCACTGTGCTCTTGGGAGATTCTGAAGAGAAGTTGAGAGAGTGGTGGTTAATATTGAATTTGGTATAGTTTCAGGCCGGGGTGTGCCAAGAAGGAAAATTGTAGTGTATACAGAAAAAGAGTAAGCGGTTATGAGTGCATAACAAAAAAGATTTAGCGTTGATGTAGATTGGTATCAGAATT